CATTGTGCGTATCGCTTTGGACAGAACCCCAAACTTAACAATGTGCACTTTGCATTGAGTTTGAACTGCAATATGCGACTTGTACGCATTATGATGCATTGTTTCAATATTCATGTTGCATCCATCAACATCAACGTGCAGTGTCGATCTGATGTTTGGTGTTGATGTTGTGTTGATATTCCAACAACACTGAATATCGCAAATCAGGTCAGCATTGACTCGTGTGATAATAATCCATGGACAGTCAGTTGTACCAAACTGTTGTACAAACATATTGACATTCGATCGGTTGAAAGTAGTATAGATAGAACACCCGATGATACCAGTTTTTTAACCGACACTTACTGCTAAATCATGTACAAAGTTGTCAAAACATAAATTATTCGCAGAAAGGAATTCAAGTCAAAAGTATTAGGGTAGAATAGTCAATAGCTTTGCTTGTAATTCATAATAAATACGAGTTATTTGTGCCAGACTCATACTTGATGCCTCAAATTGGATACAATGGGTAGTTTTTTAACCAGTACTAAGTGTTAATGTACACAGACTGGGTTTAGCTGGATCTTGTTGTAAGAATGATAGAGTATAAAATCAAACCACTGACAAGTCCGTGTTTATCGAGTACGAGTCTTTATATTTCCAATCAACTCTTCCAAATGTGATATTGTGTCTTGCAATGCCAAAATGGATTCAAATCTGCTTGATTACACTATGCATTTGGACATCATTGCTGATCTGTTGAATTTCACGCTTTCTTTGATCATCTTTTTGATACTCTAGCATATTCCATTCATAATTGTGTCTAGCCTCCAACTCTTGATCCTGGCTCATCCCTGGTTGGTTTTGTCAATACCATTGATTGGAAATAAAGCCACAATCAACCCGCTGTTTATCACGTATGGCTATTTGATTCAATTCAGTTGCAAACAATTCTTTGTAAGAGTATACTTTCTGGTACTCCTTGTATCATACCAACATCTCTTGAAACAGCTGCTTTTGTGCTTGTAACAATCCCTGCAGTGTTTTATCAGCTGGGAATTTGATTCAAGTTTGAAACCCGAGACTATCGATCGGACAAATCCAATGTCAGCAAAACTGC